AAGTTTTAAATATATATAGTATTGATTTTTTACTTTGGAGGAAGGTAGAGAAAGCTACACTTTATAAATCATAGAATGGAAGTTGGTCCTTGAGGAATAATGGACACTTGACCAGGCCAGGCATGGTGGTGCATGCTTAAAATCCTAGCAGTAGAGAGGCAGAGGTAGAAGGATTGCAAGTGAGGCTAGCCTGAGCTATATAGTAAGCTCAAAGCCACCCTGGGCTATGTAGCAAGACCTTGTTTCAGAAAAAAATGGTCAGGAAAAGAAAGGATAAACTATACAAACCCCTTGCAGATGTGACACTGCATGATAGGTTTGTGAACTATGAAGGGATGGTAGGCATGAAAGCTGCAGGAGGTGAAGATGGCTGGGGAGATGGCTTAGTGGGTAAAGCATTTGCCTCACAAGCCTGAGGACCAGAGTTTGCTAACACTTTCTTGAATTAAGCTGGTCACAAAGTTAAACCCAAAGGCACAGTGGAGGAGTATGTCCTGCTGCAGGACACTGCAAGCAGAAGAAAGGATTGACAGCACTCTACTAAAAATACTCCTGTTGAGCCAGGCAGGGGGGCACACACCTGTAATCTGAGCATTTAGGAGGCAGGGCAGGCCAGCCTGGTCTACATAGTGAGTTCTAGGCCAGTTGAGGCAGGGAGACCCTGTCTCCAAAAGACCAAAAACAAAGCAAAACAAAGCAAAACAAAACTCTTGTTGTGGTTGGTTGTGGTGGCACACGCCTTTAGTCTCAGCACTTGGGAGGCAGGGGTAGGAAGATCTCTGTGAGATTGAAGCCAACCTGGTCTACATAATGAGCTTCAGGCTAGCTGGGGCTATAAGGAGACCCTGTCTCAAAAAAAAAAAAAAAAGTATCAAATAAAGAAATAAAACAAACAAAACCCAAAACGTTTGTTGGGGCTGGAGAAATAGCTCAGCATTTAAGAGTATGTGTACAGCTCCTGCAGAAAACCCAAGTTCAGTTCCTAGTACTCATGTTGAGCAGCTCACAAACTGCCAGTAATGCCAGCTCCAGGGGATATGATGCCCTTTTCTGGCCTCTATGGGTACCTGCACTCAGGTGCCCAAACTCATACTCATACACATACAATTAAGATAATAAATGAAATATATTTTTAAATTTTTTTGTTTTATTTTTATTTTATGTGTATGCATGTATTTTGTGTATGTATGCATGTGGACCCCTGTTGTGCAATACCCACAAAGGACAGAAGACAGTGTCAGATACCCTGGAACTGGAGTTTCAGACAGTTGTTATCCACCCCATAATTTTATTTCTAAAGAACTAACTAGAGTAATAACAGGGGAAAGTGAGGCATTAAAGGTCTTCGATATGGGGCTGGGGAGATGGTTCAGTGGTTAGGAGCACTGACTGCTCTTGCAGAGGACCCAGGTTCGATTCCCAGTACCCACAGGGCAGCCAACAACTGTTAATAACTCCAGTTCCAGGGGATTTGACACCCTCTGTGACCTCCGAGGGCAATGCACGACACAGGTGCACTTACATGCAGGCAATACACTCATACACATAAAATAAAAATAATAAAAAAGGTTTTAAAAAAGATCTTTGGTATTAGGAATCTTGGAGTTCTTTATTTTTAATTTTAATTTAATTTTAAATTTACTATTTTTATTTTATGTGTGAATGTATTTCCTACATGTAAGTGTACCCTCATTGTTCAATGCCCAGCGGTCAGAAGAGGGCATCA